TAAATAGATATCTGGGAATCGTCTAATAGTCAATGGTGGTAAGCTATACAACCCAATCGCTTCTGATCGGTCATACCAGGTACTTCTCAATTTAAATACATCGTTCAATCTCGTGTTCTTAACTTCACGATTTCTTGAAGTAATGTAGCCAAATTAGATTAGACAACGTTTTTTCGTTGGTGGACGGATGAGCTGGCAATTTAGGGAGCGGAAAGTTAAACTCAATACTTATTCATTTACTTTCAATGCAAAAAGGTTGTGTGAAATGAGAATTCAACTCATGAAGCACTGGCGTAGGTGAGAAGCAAACTGAAAGTATTAAACTTCTGTGGCAAGCTGTAGAAATTAATTTCGGACTTGTCCAATACCAACTTCGCTACTGTAATTGTAATCCAGCAAGTCCTTATGTTGATTTGATGGTATTCTAAATGAAGTCAGCGGGCCACATTAGGTCACCGATTTATTGATTCAGCGCACCAGCAAGCTGTTATTATAGATTTAATCACATCAAACTACCAGTCAACCACCAATCTAATTTCTACCTTCCTCTCTTCCTGTGACTGATTATAATTCTCCCGACATTTACATCTGTAAACTTTTTATGGTTTTGGTACAGAAATATCATTATCAAATAATGGAAGAGCGTGTAAGAACCTTTTCGCGGTGTTCGGTCGTGTCATGTGTGTCCAAAGGAACATCACCACATTTCGAAAAAGAAAGGTGTAACCTTATACATTTACCACTTTCAAAATTTTCTGGCCCCTGCTCGGCCCCCTCGACAAATGTTTGCCACTGAGTCGGAGATCATTTCTATCAGCTGCTCTTGGCCAAACCTCTTGGCAATCTTCCCGGATTATCCCAAACTATATAGTTCTGGGTCGACTGGAATGTTATGGACAGCTGAGGACAAGTTTTTGACCTTAAAGATTCCAAGCGTTGACATTAACTGAACGAACCGTCTGTAAGAAAAGATATCATTAACAGTTGGATCTGTTTGATAGTTTATGGTTCGTTTATAATTGCCGTAATTATAAGCATCCGGTTCATTTTCAGATTTTTCTTCTTCTTCTGATAATTGTTAGCTTGTTGAGTAGTTAGAGGTTCATTAGCGATATATCACCAATGATAATTAACTACCATTCCTTACACAAACTGGTCATAATTGTTCTTATAAATTAGTGTTGGATGTTCCGGGTGTTTGAAACTTAGTCATTTACTGATAATCTGTTCTATTCATTCTGAACGACTCGTTACTATTACGTCGCCGGCACATTACCATGTTCTGCTGCGATTAATACTCCGACCCCGATGTACTTGTACTTCCATTGCTACTACTCCGAAGTACTTTGTCTACTACTTCTACTACTCTTACTACTACTACCTCGACTACGACTTTCTGCGTCTTCCGCTATTCTTCTACGTCTTCTTCTCGCTCATCCCTAACTACTACTCCGACTTCACCACCTTCCCATTTTTTCAATCTACTACTACTGCTTGTGGTTCTGCTGTTTTACATCAACAATTACTACTATTCTGAATCGATTGCTCAATCAAAATTAGTGAGAATAAATTCATTGTATGTCTTTATGTTTCATTTAGCTCCTAAGAGGCACATAATATTTTTTACGAACCAATTCATCAATTGCTAAATTTCTTAATTTGTTAGGCTATTAGTGATAATTGCTTTTTAGTTTTCGGTTGTTGATATCTCTGAAACCTTTACTAATATCCAAGGGAAAATATGTTTTTCTTACAAATCCGAGGATCTAAAGAACTTTATAGTCAAAGCAAGAACTGAATTTCATTGGAATCTCGTTAGAATACCAGAATATATTAGTAGTATTTTTAAGGAAAACTTACAACGCGCGACCGATGAAAAAAAGTTAGAATTAAAGTAAAGCTAAACCTGCAATACAGCTACAATGAAATTTCATTGGAATCTCGTTAGAATGTGAGAAAATAAACAGTAATTTCAGTAATATGCTGAAGAATGAGAAACGAATTACAAAAACCAATTGAAGTCGAAAGCAATTAACTTACTTCAGAGTTACAATCCCATTTTTATTCTATTCATTTCATACTCCAAAGATCGCCTTGTACGATTTCAATATCCCTAGAAGTTGTTATTCCATTAAAACAGTACGTAACTCACAGTTCACTGTGAAATGTGTTCGTTTTCCCACCGTTTAATATATAGATGATATAAAAAAAAATCTTAGTAATTTGTATTGAAGCTGATCATTCGAAAACGTTCGTTTAGTTTCACTAGAAAAAGCCTCGAGAATGTCAAGGTCTTTTAATAAATATGAGGTAAATGTTATTAGATATGTCTCTACGACCTACTGGGCAGTTCTATTTCTAGGGATTTAGAGGCATGCTCATAGAAAGCCCACCACTGCGGGATAGTACTAAGGAAAGCTGGAAATGGACCCCTCATCAGCGTATCCATTAAGAGACAGAAATGTGTCTTAGAAAATTTCGAGATTATTGCGCAGTTGAGTTATAAACTGTTCCGAATGGTCCATATCCCAGGCTACCTGAACGTCCTTCATTTGACCACAATTAGTCACGTTTAATCCCTTTGCTCAGCATTCAGTTGATTGCTAATTAATTTCATAATACCCCCACGGGCTACTATCTTCAATTACTTATTAATCAATGAAATTAGAATATCAAGATAATATAATTAGCTCTGTGAACTCAAGTATTTTTTCGGAGACCTTCGAATTTCATATATTAAAAATATACCCTAGAACACACACCTGTAACACCTGGTAAAATTCTACTTGGTACATTGTTGTTGGAGGACGAAGTGATGTTTCATGTCAGGACATAACCGAGAAGTTGTCAACGAGTACAGTCTGTAGCTCATGGGATCTTTGTTTATCGTCCAAGGCTTACGGCAACACATCTTTCAATGTCCGCCTCTACGACCTGCATCACCATCAAGAGCGACAACTATTATCGTCCGAGGCTTACGGCAACACATCTTTCATTTTCCGCCTCTACGACCAACAAGGTCACCATCAAGGGCGACAACTATTAACGAACTTTTTATTTTATAAGTGAACACGTTTCCAAGATTCCGAGCGTGTTGGGACTTCCTGATAGTGGTCCTTGGTTATCTGGAACTTGACCGAGTTATGTCAAATGGTCAAGGGATTCGGAAACAAAGCACTCTTCTGAAGCGTGATCGGATCTTTGTGTTTCCTCTCTAATTCCCACCCCCGACAATTTTTATCTTATCTGGTCTCGATGACATTTTGTTTTGATTTGCCTTATATCTGACCATATGGTCTCGAACTATTAAACTGTTCTGCTAGAGTCCCTCCTTCCCATTCTCTTTGAGATACTATGTGTATTCTTTGCCTAATATTTGGTCTAGATTTTGGATTTGTGTATCTGAAATCAGTGGTCTATCTCCAATTTGTCCACTTCTTCGGAACACCAAATGTCGAAATGGCAGGGCAACTTGTTACATGAAACATGCACCGGGCTTTGAAAACATGAAACGTATATTGGTCTCAGACAAACAATGGGTAATTCCATTTGTCACGCTGATAATGGCGGAAGTCGACACCATTGGCAGGTGGTCTGTGTAGTAGAACTAAAGATCCTGTTGTAAAATAGTTGACATTTCGTTTTCCTGTTGTCGCTAAATGTAAACATTGAGAACTGGTGAACCAAGAAAATAGGTGAAGAGAACGCAGACTTGATGTTAGAAGAAGTACTACGTCTTAATGCGAAATGTACATCCGGAACCGAAGAGTGGATCACCAGCATGACGATGATATTGGTGGTATACTTGAAAATACTAATTGTATATAAGTCCCATCTTGTGAAATAATTAAGATGAAGATTTTGTATCCAAAATAAACTGGACTTGATGTCAGCGGCTCAAATACCATAGGGACTGGTTCAACCAAGTCCACGGACACCACCCCGCCACCAGAAATAATGCAGAGAGCATATATTTAAAAAAAATCCCGAAGGAGGGAATCTAGTTCAGCCACTGCTTAAGGTCATTTAGTAAACAGCGTGTCGTGGGAATCGACCATACCGAAGCTCAGCACCATGAGATGAACTCTGGGCAATTGGCCACTGGACTTGGTGTCATTTAGTAAACAGCGTGTCCTATGATGGCTATGAATCATCCATACCGACGTTCAGCACCCAATAGTCTCTGCATGAATCAAAAGAAACAATACAATTATTAATGTCTCTATCATTTGATCTCATTCGCTTTATATTACGAACTGCTATCAATCTACACTTAATTGACTTTTCTGTTTATTCTGGGATCTCTCAGGAAATGGAACTATGATGATATACTCTCATGGGAATGAAAGCCATTATAACTGTGATCATATTGTTTATTGATGGACGGAGGCCTACTTAATTTCAAATGAAATGAAATGAAATGAAATGGAGTCTTACGCCCTGATGTTCTAATCTTGATTAATCTTGTACATAGTTTTAGTGTAGGTTTACTAAAATTTAAACGAAATGAAATGAAATTGAGTTTTTCATCCTCGTTTTCTACTTCCGATTATTTACCAGCTGATCTTTAACATGCAGTCAGCAGGAAGGTTGGTCGTTGATTATTGTCAGATCAAGGGAAGAAACTGGTTAAAAAAAGACTGTCAATTAGGATGTCAAGCTGCTTGAGAAATGCATGAATGTCTTGCAGGGATTTTACTTTAAGGACGAAATAATTGTGTGATATACGCAGTAAACTAATTAGAGTATTCTCCCTTGGATGGTAGATCATTGAAAGTCACAGAACTTTATACAAAATTAATGTGCAAAATGACATTTAATAGCAAACAAAACTGTTACAAAAGTGAACGTCGAAGACAAAATCAAACAAAATGGGGTTTACAATTGTTTGTGACTATTCAAAACCTCGTCGAATGTAAAAAAAAAGGGAATGCCAAAAGATGGAGTAAGTGATCCCTGCCCCATGCACAGCACCCCCAAAATGGCACCAGGATCGATTTTTAATATTGTCCGTATACTCTAATTAACTCCTTGATAAGAGACGCCTTTTCCTTATCGCTTGTAAAACTTGAGCGGGCTGCGTTAAAAATCTGAAATGAAAAATAGAAGTCCATGTAATGGTTTAGGTTCAATTTTGTTTAAGTATGAAACATGAGTTTATTCAAATTAGCAACACCATGTACACCATGTACACATGAGACACATTTCAAACTCATTGTCGAGGGATCGTTAAGATGCACAGAACATCTCACGTGCGTCTGATTTTGTCGTCCTGCCGAGTGACTGGAAGATTTTGTCATGTCAGCACATAATTCGTTATCTATATCTGTCTCAAATCCTTCTGAGAGTGTTCAGAAACGTAAACGCTCTACTTACTGACTGGGTGATCTGGTCACGTGATAAACCCATTTCCATAGCAACTTTATAATCTTCAGATATATTGTTACCTAGGACCAGTGGATCGTCGGTGTTGAGGGAGAAATTCACTTCGTCATTGGCAAACCTGAAATGAAAAGGAATACCGATTTGACGGGATAGTAATGATACTCTCCATTTTGCACGTACGAACACTCGTAACGTTCCTCAGTTATGTACATACGTAAATGTATCGGTGAGTATGTTCGTTTTGTTGCCTGAAACTCGTGCTACGCTTAATGATCGGCCATCAAGACCTTGTTGAATAAAAAAATCTGCTTTACACGCACGTCTATGTCTAACGTGCTGCAGCGACAGTTATCTCTATTTTGCACGTACGAGGATTTATGTCATACCATTGATGAACCTTGGGTGGCAATGGAATTTACTATGCTTACTTGGAAATTGGATGATTTATTTTGGTATGTGCTAAAGCAAGACCAGTCATCATGCTTGAAATGGGACAGGTTTCTAAATGTATCCTCTCCTTTTTGATTCGTTGATACAAGCTTTCGTCTTTTAGACAGGTGTAGCCATGTCCGATTCTCTCGGCGTGCAGATCGTCAATTGCTTCCAGAACGGAGCCGGGTGGCGTTACTTCTCCTGCGTGGGCTGTCCGGTGTATGCCATTTTGGTATGCATCCTGGAAGAATGGATTAAAGCTTTACACCCTATATGTAGTCCTCGGTGGAATAAATACGGTATCGCAATACAGACCGCAATATGACATCTATTGCTTTGACAGCGACACTAACTGGTGGACTTCTTTACAACCGTCATCATTAGCCCCTATGGTGCAGAAAAGTAGGACGTAAAACTCTTCTTTTACGATTTCAATATGCTTAGAACTCTTTTGAATTGATAACAAGATTTGATGACCATTTACCATATAGGCTAGCTTGTGTGGAGAGTTCCCCTTGTCGTTACCAAGTATAAATTCAGGTCCAGCAATATCTATAGCAACCACTCCATCAGATCGAAAATCACGACAGAGCTGTGCAACCTCCATTGAAAATTCTGGAAGAGAAAGTGGAATCTGGATCAAGCATCTCTAGAACTCCGTTGGATACAGCCACAGTCTGATTCAGAATAGGTCTAGATTCCTGTTTCTTCTGTGGGTGTAAAACTCAATATAAAATTGATATGATGTTTCATTGACGCTGTGCTGGACCAAGGTTTTGCAATCACGAGTGCTGAAATAAACCAGAGACAATTCCATGCTTGTGTGTTTGGAGATATCAAACTCTCCCGTCACCAAAATTTGATAGGGCACATGTGGTGCCTCTTTAAGAAGATCTTATAGCGTAGCTAAACTAGAGACAATTCCAAGCCTGTAAGTTCAGAACAGGCCAATCCCTGTCAGTCCCAGAATCTAAATGGGCATATTTGTAACGAGTACTTTTAAAGTTTGCAAGATGATCTTGACGAATCTCACCTGAATTGGTTCGGATGCAGCACAAGATGCTTTTCACATCCACGTTAAAATCTTGGGAACCCTTTTCAAATGCCTCATTGACCGTCGTCACCACCTCACGGGGCGTGAAGCTTCCTCTCTCCAGAGAGTAGAATGGTTTCTCACAACTATTGGCCAGTAAGTGAGGTGAATATCGTGCCTCTACGTATTTGATCTTGTGTTTGGCACAGTCTTCGCAGAACTCGTAGGCTAGTTGGTAAACCGCTTCCCTACTGCCTCTAAAATATACCAAACCAAACGTAAATAAATGATAAGCTACCATACTTTTAACAAGGATTCAAATTGCATATGTCACCAAATACTGAAAAAAAATACAATGACCAAGGTGTTGAAACAAGCATAGGTATAACAATAAATAACAACTGGTTTACTTGGAATCATTTGTGCAAGCTGGTTTGTGGTCAAGATCAGCTCACCCTACTGGATTCTAATGCAACTGGATCATTTTCGATCGCCTCTTAAGCTAATAATTTTGGAGTTTTGATACGTACGCTACAACTGGCATGAAGGTCCTGAAATATTCCAGAAGAGTGTCGAGGTTGGCTTCTTTCATTTGCAACTGCTGGCGAAGCTCTTCTTTGGTTTTGGCAGGGATTTGGATTTTTCTTCTTCTAAAATACACCAACCAGAAGTCAAGCGGTTATGGTAGAGAATCAATCAATTTCGATTGGAAGGTTTCGTGAAAAGATCGAGGCTCAAAAAGTCCCAAACGATGAAGGCAAAGACTTGAAAGAAGAAGTCAATAAGTCAAAGCAAAGGAAAATAATGTAAGGGGAAAAATTCGCCATTAGATATTGAAAGGTTTGTGTTCAGCTACGTTGTACAATGGGTCTCGATGTTTTTGTCCATTCCGAACGACAAGTCAATCCTTATTCATCTAAGCTGAATTACTGATAAGGGAGACTATCTTACTAAATATTATGTCAACAAAATCGAAGCTTGCGTCTGGCTAGAGGCTAACTCTCTCTCTTCTTTGACAACAAAAGGGTTTACTTACTGAGCAATGTCAAATATGGTGTCGGATCGGATGGCACCGTCCAGGTGGACATGGAGCTCGACCTTAAAAAAAATATATATGGAGCGTATAGGTCTGTTTTTATAAATTTAAACAGTCAGTATTATATGCAAATTCTTCATTATTTAAAAGTCCTAAATTATACCTGAAAATATTTCTTGAAAATGCTATATAGGACTACGAGGTGTTACCACTTTGCTGGCAGGTTATATATAGGGTAATTAAATGAAATGAAATGAAATGAATGGAGTTTTACATCCTACTTTTCTGCACCATGTGGGCTAATGAAGACGGTATAGGGTAATTAAAGCAATTAATCTTCCAAGATGAATCACAAATCTACCCCACATTCTGAATTTCTGATCCTAGTTGAAGAGTATCTGGCCACAACGTCTATTTAGAATAAACTGTAATCGCACATTCATCACGAAAGCGGATTTTGACACGGTCTTATTAACGAGGAAGTATGACGAATGGGGGTGTTGTTTGGACACGATTTCCGTCGTTGTATACATTGTGCTCACTCACTTTCTATTCAACATTTTGACACGTGAATTCATATCACCAACATTAATATTAAGTTACGTGAACATCGTTCATATCAGCTGGCCAGTAAATTCCTGTCTCAATGCTTGACTGTATAACTGCCGTAATCTGACTACATTCGGCGGATTCAATTTGCTTTGACTTAATTAATCTATTTAAGCTGCCATCAAAGTGGGAAGAAAGATTCTCTACGACTACAATAAGCGTCGGGGTCGCGGTGGCTCAGTGAGTTAGGCGCTTGCTCGCTAACCTAAAGGTCTAGGGTTCAATCCTGGCATATGAATTAATACCTTCGGATTTATCAACCCGGTATTCCAATTTAAAATTCTTCAAAAGGGGGGGTTAAATCTTTAATAAATAGAGCAATTGATTGGTTGAATTTGGGAACAGGCATTTCCTAGAAATGTCTTAGGGCCATAGTAGGCGCGGGGTACATAAAGTAGTATGTCCCTGATGGGGCGGGCTATTGGTTGAATAATTTATGCCAGCCAATCAAACTCGTCATTACAAATTTAAAATTCTTCAAAAGGGGGGGTTAAATCTTTAATAAATAGGGCAATTGATTGGTTGAATTTGGGAACATGCATTTCCTAGAAATGTTTTATGGTCATGGTAGCCGCGGGGTACATAAAGTAGTATGTGCCCCCCCCCCCCCCCCCCCCCCCCCCCCTGTGGTTTGTTAAGTACGACATAAAACGCCATTCATTTCATGTCATGTCTGGTGGTTTGATTTTATTTTGGGACATAACCAGTCCTTGCATATTTCATTAGTTTGATGGCTTCGAACGTCTTCATTTCAAAGTCTTCTTTTAAAACGGCTTGGTTCAAGTCCAAGAGAAGATCGCCACTGATTTGAGCATCTTTGAAAGTTTGTATATATTTCCCTAGATTTAAGGATTCCAATCGATCTGCAAGTTGGTTAATTGATAGCCCTTTGGCAAAGCATGTTGACGAACCTACATCCTCAGCAGATGAAGGTCTGTTGCCTGATGCAGATTCAGTAGCCTTTGCCAAAGGTTTCACCATAGCTCGAACCAAGTTGTTAACGTAGTGGTGGCCAGTCGTATCATGCCTAGTTGGAGCATTTTCAGTTGGTTTCGGAACCGCTCTTCGTTTTGGAATAGGTGGGGCTTCATCTTCATGTGTGGTTGGATCGTTGGAGTATATGTTATATGCCTTCGCTGGCTTAGGTAAAACTTTTGGTCTCGCCTCAAACTTGTCTGTGATTTCTTTTATATTCAGCAACTTGGGTATGGAAGGTCTGCGATTGTACGTCTCACGGTACTTAATGAAATGTTGTGGTTGGATGTAGTCGTATACGTTGTCAGACCCCATAGAGACGGAGGATGAAGAATATACAGCAATATCTGAGGACAAAGATTTAAGAATATTTTAGAATTTAGAAAATATATCCATTGGACCTCAAGAACTCACGCAGCTACTTCTCTATATTATACCCTACTTTAAGCGGAAAAGAGCAGACAATGTCTAAAATCGCGACTGAGGGGAGTGCGGCTAATTGGATCTTCTGAAGATGCTGAAGCTTATACTCAATGTTCTGGTCCAATTAAGGATGGAAACTGCGTGGAGTACCTGTTCATCCATTTGGGACCCCATACCTAAGGTTTACAGATAAGAAACTGCTCTGCCAGGGTTGCCTGTGCTTTAAGCGGTATGCGTGCAATATAGCTTCAGAACATGGTAGACATTTTGCATCCAGTTTACGTTTCCTCGGATCAGAGTAACAAACAGTTTTACTCACCGTCATTACCCCCATGTGTATCAAAATGGATTGCGTCCGCTGATCGATTCAAGTGTTCCAGAAATGTCATGTACTCGGATTCCGAACAGCCCTCCATGCCACAGATCATCGACACAACTATGCTTTTTAGGTATATGGGAACAAATAATACTTCTGAATCCATGGACCCTAAAAATATGAAGTAACCGTAACATATAATACACACCAATTGTTTGTTTTTCACGAAAAAGTGAGCAAGTAATAAGCCCAGTCGCACAGGGGCACTGTTAGGGTTTGAACAGATTAGCCAGCAATAACATGAAACAGCTCACATCAAAACTGTGGACTCTTTTAATTAGTGTGGCTTGAACACCAAAACTGTGGACTCTTCGAATTGTTGTGGCTTGAACACCAAAACTGTAGACTCTTCGAAAAGGATGCTGAATTGTTGTGGCTTGAGTATTTTCCGAAAGGTCAACATAGACTCGTAGAATTTGCAGGTCCGGAAAATATCCGGGTTACGTTTCAACATTTTAACCCAAGCTGGATGGAGTGGGAATATGTAAAATATATAAGAATGCAAGGAGAAGAAAAGAGGGTGGAAAGCAAAAAAGAACAATGAGAAACGATGAAGAGATCAGACTTAGTATTGAGTAAATAAGAGAAGAAGAAAGGCAATATTGATCGCGAAAGGGTTTTTTTTTTATTTGACTCGCAAAATGCAATGCGATACAGTTTACATGATCCATTTAAAATCTCAGTCAGACTCTCTCGCAAATTGCTCTAAAAAAATTGTGATTTGAATATCCTGTTACCTTCAACAATACTGTTAGCCAATAGATAGGTTTCGTCGTAGGTCTCTAAGAGATTCAGCTCTCCAAAGGACTCGAAGTTCTTGATGTTTTGGCCGATATGTAAGGAGTAACCAGGTGGCGGTGTACACAGCTCCACTTTAACTGGTAGAGTGTTGTTTTCTACGATCTCTGTCAGCGTGCATTCTTTCCCTGATAAAAAAAATAAAGGCAAATTGTACCATTAATGTGTGCAAAGTTATAATTGCTAATAGTTCTGTTCTGGCTGGTTTTTCGAAGACAATGTCAGTTTTCAACGGTTGTTAAGTTTTTGTTTGATCAGGAAGTTCATTTTTATTGCTATTCTTAAAAGTACCAGGGCTAGCTGGAATGGAGCTCGATCAGCTGGTAAAATTGGTATCCAGAATATTAAACCTATCTTAGTACCTTTCTTAGAATTCTTGGATAGACGAAATTTAATTTTATAGTTGACTGGAATACTGAACTGGCGTCCCTGGTTATCCTTGGCCACCACTCTTCGTTGTTTGGAATAGGTATGGATTCTCATTATCTAATGTAAATAAATAAATTAATTAATTAATTAATAAATAAATTAATAAATTAATAAATTAATAAATAAATAAATTAATGAAATATAAAAATAATAAATGAATAAAAAAAATAAAATTAACTTTCTTTAAGAAGATTTCCCTAGATGATATAGAAGTGATAAACAATTATCGAGATTCAATTATCGGTATTTTTACACCTGATTTTGTTGGTTGTGAAAAGGTACCTACATGTCCTGTGGAATATGTATCCAAATCTATATCACCATGGTGACCTTGTGTGACCTGTAGTAGTACCGGAAACGAATACTGATTGCGTTCGAACACTCCTCTCACGGTCAAACTTTCTGGCCGAAGGATAAATTTGATATCGGACATTCTACTTTTATGGTAACCTACAAAAAACACAGGAAAAATAACTTATGTTCTCAAGGATCCGGTCTTCCAGCTACCCTGTGGACAATCCTTTGTTGACAAATACCACAGGGTCCACTGGAACATTAGGGATCCTTCTGGCCCTTGGTCCAACCTATAGACGAAAATCATTCCCAGATTATCTGTCCCCATTTACAACGGGGTCGACTAAAATATTAATGTTCCTTTCTACCAGATGGCCCCTGGCCACACCCAATAACAGCTGGATGGATTACAAAAGTGAAGACTCTCTCAACCAGCAGACTATGGGCTAAATCTCTTGGGATGAATATCACCAGCATCAGATCTATCTGATCAATTTTGGGGTTAGGAAATCCATTGTACGTTAAGAACTCTCCGATTCAGAAGAGTTAACACTATATCGCATATGACAACATAGTAATCCTAATATTTAAGTATATATATATATATATAAGCCTATAAGCCTATACACGATCCAATCGTCCCACCTAGGTTTACACCTTTATCAAAGGCAGAACGTCGAGGACAAGATTTCACTCGATTGCCAATGGTTACACCTACTTTATGGTGGACACTGGCACTCATCCCCAAAATATATGTCCCCAATCACCGGAATTTAATATACTTTGCTTACCTTGTGGGTTAATACGTGTCTGTCTAATATGAACACAGGTATTTACATATACGTTATATCAAATTTACTTCCCCTTTTAAAGTCATGTTACCTGTATTATGTTTCGCCAGTATTGAATCTAGCACTCATGCGTAGGTAATATTCATTATATTGTGCATTGGGTCTACCTCTCCTTTCTGGGTCTAATATACTTCCCTTGTTTTTAAATATATAAAAAATCTAAGGTAGTAACCTTTACATAAGCTACAAAAGTAATGTTTCCGCTTTGTTCGTGTGATTTGACATATGTAAAACCCCCATTTAATTTCATTTAAATCTTAATGATGTGTTGTATTTGTTTCAAAAGTATATGGCCTTTGTTCTTGGAATATTATGACATTTGTTCTTGCCAATATATGACATCTGTCCTTGACAATATATGACAGTTGTTCTTAGCAATATATGACACTTGTTCTTGGCAATATATGACATTTGTTCTTGACAATATATGACATTTGTTCCTGGCAATATATGACACTTGTTCTTGGCAATATATGACATTTGTTCTTGGCAATATATGACATTTGTTCTTGACAATATGACATTTGTTCTTGACAATATATGACATTTGTTCTTGGCAATATATGACATTTGTTCTTGGCCATATATGACATTTGTTCTTGGCAATATATGACATTTGTTTTTGGCAATATATGACATTTTGTTCTTGGCAATGTATGACATTTGTCCTTGGCAATATATGACATTTGTTTTTGGCAATATATAACATTTTTTCTTGACAATATATGACTTTTGTTCTTGGCAATATATGGCATTTGTTCTTGGCAATATATGACATTTGTTCTTGACAATATATGACATTTGTTCTTGGCAATATATGACATTTGTTCTTGACAATATATGACATTTGTTCTTGACAATATATGACATTTGTTCTTGGCAATATATGACATTTGTTCTTGACATTATATGACATTTGTTCTTGGCAATATATGACATTTGTTCTTGGCAATATATGACATTTGTCCTTGGCAATATATGACATTTGTTCTTGACATTATATGACATTTGTTCTTTGTAATCTATAGACTTGCGTTTATTGTTTTATATAAAAAAAAATTCTTTACCCTTCCCCCTTTAACAATTGTGTAGCCACCTCTCGACCCTTCCAGTTAATGGTTAACAGAAACGTCACACTGCTCTGGGGTCTTCACGATCAAAGCATTGACACA